ATATACATTTATATATTACTCGTATACATTTATATTATTGTATACAAGTTTATAATATAATAATTATTACTCTAATTATTTCCTATTCATAATTATGTTATAATTTTGTAATAAATTCTCTTTTATCATTTTTATATTATCATTTATTTTTTTTGTAGTTATTATAATGGCAAAACAGATATGATAGTAACAAAAAAGAAGAACAGGTAAAATAGTTTCTCAACAACTTTTCTTCCTTTCTTCTCCACTCATTTTCCATTCCTTCTTAATTTAAATCTACACCATATTACTAAACAAAATCATAATATTGTATAGAATTCCAGTTATAATTTGTTTTTAACTTAAATATTTAATTATAATTTATTCCAATCTTATTCGTAAATTTATGTCGAGCTCTCGCATCAATATGTGCATACTTTTGTACATATTAATAATTATATGAATTTCAAAAAAAAAATTCTGATACATATACATTTATGTACATAAATACCTACATATTAAAATTTTTTTTTCTTTATTTTTTTTTTCTTGTTTTTCTATTATGACTTCTTTTTAGTTTTGCCTTTAAACATCGTTAGGAATATAAATTGTATTTTTGCCGGCAGACAAACTTAATAGATACTTTAACAAAAAGAAAAAAACAACAGCAACAAAAGAAAGACAAAGTAAAGAACAAAGTATTCTGCTGTTTTCAACTGTATATACGAGTATACATTCATACATGCATACATAACATCACTGCTGTTGCTAAAATGTTATTGAAGAGCTAAAGAGTATATTATATATATAGAGTTAAGAAGAAGAGTTTGCAGATTTATTATGATATTCTTTGTCCTTGTTTTCAAGTTTCCACTTTCTATACATATTTTATTCATATTATTTATTATATTTTTTTTTTTATATTTTCTTTAAAAGATTCATGTTTATTCAATGATTCTTGTTTAAAATAAATTTTAAATAAATGAAAAGAAAAATGAGAAAAATAAAAATCAAAACACATCATTTTTATTTTTTTTTTTTTATTTTATTATTGTATGTATTGATGTATTTAAAAAATAATAAAAAAAAAAGTAAAGAATTTATAGGCAAAACTTAACTCTTTTAAGTTGTTCATTCATATGCATTGTACATCAATAGTTTTCTAAAAATTTAATTTGCTTTTTTATTCATCTTCCTTCAATACATTTTTTTTTTGCTTTTTTTGAACAATTTGTATTTAAATTCATGCGATTTGATTTTTGTGCTATATATTTTATATATATTAACTATATATATCATAAAGTTCAAAAATGAATATCAATTAAATTTTAAAATATGCATACAGTCGAACCTCTATAATACAAATCACCATTTCGCACAAAAAAATGATTTCGTTTTAGAGAGAATTCGCGTTGTGATTGCTTCACAACTTCAAAATAAATATGATGTAGAATGCAAAACAAAAAACAGTTCGTTTTAAGAGCAATTTCATCTAACAGGAGTTCGTGTTATTATATATAGAGGTTTTACTATTTACACATACATATAAGAATGTAAGTAACAATAACTCTTCAAGATTGCGTATTTTTAAAATAAATTTTTAAAATTTTCTTTGAATTTTTTTTTTGGAAAAATTTTTTGAATTTCAATTAATATAAAATTTCATTTGAATATTATTTTCACTATAGAAACTAAAGCATTTTATATAACTTCTAATATCATTATGTAATTCAGGTATGTACCGTATCCATATGAATCAACTCACTTTAATATTAAAGTTGGAAATTCTTATATAAAAGTTATCGGAGTTCTTTTAATGCAGAATAATTTATATATAGAAAAGGTAAATGAATCATTTATTAAATTGGATTCTAAGAAAGAAGAAGAAAGCAAGCACATATACTCGTAATATATAATGGGAAGATAGGTAATATATATATGTATCTGAAAACATACATATGTACGTAAGGATATAAAAATAACAAGAAATAATTTCGTGGTTAAAGTATAAATCTTTAGTCAATATTTTAATACTGTTTTTTTTTTGTATAAGAAAGTTATTAAAAGGAAAATGTGTATGAAAATTTCATTGAATCATAAAAAAATAAATAAATAAATAAATAAAAATTGTTTAAAAATGTTTTAATTATTAAAAATCTAGTAATCTGAAACAGAATATAATTTGTATTAGGCTGTAATTAAGTATGATTTCATACAAGTTAAAACAAACTTGTATGAAATCATACTTAATTACTCATACTATTTAGCTCATGCAAATTTTCTGTACTTTGTTTTTGTGATTACTATTTAATTATCTTATATACGAGTCCGAATAAGATTATTAAGATATTTTGAGCTGAAAAAAATTTTCTGATTAAACTAAGTTATGCGGTACTTAGAATTCTATTAAAAATTATTCGATATAATGAAAACTATTGATTTAAAATAAACAAAGTATACTGCAGTTAACAGATTTTCATTGAAAAATTATTGTAATTTAAACTGATTTTATAAATTTAGAATTTATTAATTTAGAACATATGGGGCTTTACGATTAAAATAACTGAATGACGAAGTAATGAGAATATTCAAATTATATTAATTTAATAATCTATAATATTGTTTTCCATTTTATTAAAAAATTCATTGTGTTAAAAAATGGTTTGTTAATATATATATGTAGTTCCTTTATATAAATATAATAATAATAATATAATAAATATTTTGTTCCTTATAATAAATATTTTAATAATTCCTAATTAAAATAATATTATTTTAAATATATATATAATATAATATATTCTTAATTTTAAATGAAAATAGCTGTAATTTTCTAAAAAATAAAAGCACTTTGTTGTCGAAACAAATAAAATTAAATATGGAATAAAATATGCTTAATTTATATTATAAAAAGCTATATATATTATATACACATTTACATACACATGAATTAATGAAATTTGTAAAGAGATATTGTAATAAGTTTATATTAAACCTACAAGAAATCCTTGAACTTATCCAAACAAAAAAACACCAATATTATATATAACATCATTATTAATAAGAGTGCCTTAATTCATCCATTAAAATCAAGTGAAATGAATCTAAATTTTATTCTATCAATGCTTTTATTCCTATGGAATGTCCTTGAAATTTAACACAAAAATGGAAAAAAAAAAGGAAAAATAGGAAAAATAGAAAAATAGGAAAATTTAAATTTTTCGCAAATGAAAAAACGCTTTTCATTCCTTATTACATCAAAAATAAAAAAAAAAAAAACACATTTTTTGCCTTGTCATCATTAACTACTCGTGCTTTTTTTTTGTGTTCTTGCGTTTATTATTCATTTAAAATTTTGTGGAAAACATTAAATTGGATTCTTATATAATTTCTGCAATAGACGACTATTTAAAATGTTGTTATATGCGTTGGAGTGCTATTGTATTTTTATGTTGATTATTTTCCCTTAAATGCTAATGATTTTTATTGATTTTTATTAAATTTTGGTAGAGTAATTTTATTTTTTTTCTTAATTTAATAAATTTTGTTTCCTTTCTATAAATTTATTTAAAAGAGGATTTATTTGAAATTTTATATAAATATCAGAGCATGTAGGTACAATTTGACAAATAATTCTATTGTGAAAATTAAATTGAAAATTAATTGTATTTAAGAATGTATTTATGTACATTTCAAAAGATATTTATGTACTTATAATATAATATTTTATATAGCCATACAAAATTAATTAAATTTCCACTTAACTCATTCTGTAACCATTTTGAGTTGTAAGTCAAAATTATACTTAATTCAAGAGTACAATCATTACATTTGGTTGAAAAATTACAAAATTAAGTTGTATATTAGACATAAATTTTATTTTACGTTTAATATACACCATTTATACTTTTAGCACCAGATATTTCCTATATGACCTTAGTTTTTTTTTTTAAATTTTCTTAGAGTTTTCTAATTTATGATGGTCTAATATAACATTAATAAATATTAAAGTGTATTGCTGCAGGATCAAAAAAGTTAATTCAATTGAAGACTAATATACAAAATACGAAATAAAATTTATGATAATTTAGAGAAATTATGAATCACCTCTGCTCAGCTTTTTGCGGAATTCAATGATGTTATTCCAAATTTAGATTACAAGTAATGCACTTTCATCAATTTTAAACAAAAATTATTTTCTCTTTATTCCAAATTTTTACAATGGAAGGAAAATAGTATGCCAACAAATAAGAATTTGTAGTTCCTAAGAAGCTTTAGGATTTTGATTCGTGTTTAATGAGAAAAATATTTTAAATTGTCTTCACTCGTCCTTTCGCCATCCAGTCATATATGATATTTTCCTTTTTATGTCAATATTAAAGTTGATATACTTATATTTTTTTTAAAATGTTAGGCAATAAAAAAAACTTCATGTTTTCATTAACACTTTGTACTCACGTATATGACACTTATAAGAGGGATGTAGCCAAAATATATGAACACTACATACCTGTATAATCAGGATCAAAATAGGCTTTTTAATATAACTTTCCGGAAATTATTACTTACAAAGTTTTGATATTGATTAATGAAGTATAACATGTACATTATATTTTTCACTAATAAAATAATAATTAATTCACCTTATTTGGTAAAAACTGTGATTTTAAAACGAAGAAATTATTAATTTTTTTATTTGTCTCCCAGTTTTGCTTTATAACAGTACAATTGGAATTGGAAATTTTGTAATTGTTTGCTTATGTTCATAATGCTAAACTTAGTTTTAATTTTAATACACTTAAATTTATTTTTAACTTAAAATATTAATACAAATTTATTTTATTTTAATACCAGCATTTTGTTAAATATTTTTGTTAACGGAAAATATTATATGAAGGAGGAAAGTAACTGGACAAACATTTTTATTTTCAAATTGTCAAAAATGTTTACTGGGAGAAATTCTATTAGTTAGTTGTCATTTATATTGTGTTGTGACAATTGTTTTTTGAAAGATGCAACAATTTGTTGATTTGTGTTTTGAAAAATTATTTTAAGTTTTTATTTTATAGTTTAAGAATATTCAATTAAATCATATTTACTTTTAAATAAAGATTATATAAAAATTTATAAAAATGGAGAAATATTCAGTTACATCTATGATAGGAGAAGGATCTTTTGGGCGTGTTTACAAAGCTACACGGAAATCTGATAATCATACAGTTGCATTAAAAGTTATTTTAAAGGTAATTTATTAAAATTTATAATAATAATTTGTTTCTACAATTGAGTTTTGTCTATTTTTTTTTAGAGAGGGAGATCCAGCAGAGAAATAAAAAATTTACGACGTGAATGCGAAATTCAAGCAGAGTTAAAACATGAAAATATTATTGAGATGTTTGAATCATTTGAAACAAAAAATGATCTAGTTGTTGTAACAGAATTTAGTCAAATAGATTTACATAGATATTTAAGTAAAAATGGCACAATTAGCGAAGAAACTGCACAAAAATTAAATGGGCATTTAGTATCAGCATTATATTACTTGCATTCAAACCGAATTCTTCACAGAGATTTAAAGCCACAAAATGTTCTATTAGATGAAAATTTACATGCAAAATTATGTGATTTTGGCTTAGCAAGGAATATGACATTGGGAACTCATGTGTTGACTTCGATCAAAGTAATTTTATTCAAATCAATTTAATATTTTATTAAAACAATGGTAATTTTTAAGGGAACGCCTTTATACATGGCACCAGAACTTTTATCAGAAAAACCTTATAATCATCAAGCAGATTTATGGTCTTTGGGATGCATAATATACGAAACTCTAGTTGGACAACCACCTTTTTGTACAACATCAATTTTACATTTGGTTCGTTTGATTCGTTTGGAAGAAGTTAAATTTCCTAGTTTTGTAGGAAATGACTGCACATCATTTCTTCAGGTTGTAAACGGATTTATAACATAATGAATCTAAATTAAAATTTCATTTTATTTTAGGGGCTTCTAGAAAAAGATCCTACAATGCGAATGACTTGGGCACAAATTTTATTTCATCCTTTTACTGAAAATAGATTAAATTTACCAGAAGGTTGTCAAGCCATTGAACCAGATTTTACAAAAAATAAAAGCACAGATAAATCTCCTGAACGGGATGAATGTGATAACAATATTACAGAACAGTTAGATCTGTTAACTTTAGAGGGCAATAAAGAAAACAAAAATAGCCTTGATTCATCTAATGACAGCACAAATGCTATTCTTCAAAGTGATATAGAAAACATTGAAACTGATGCTGAAGATATAAATCGTATAAATATTCCATTTTCCGATGCACCTTCATTAAAATATGATTTGACAAAAAAGCAAATTTCATCTATTGTGCCGAAACGATTATTGGGACCAAAAGATAGAATACCGATTGAAATACCAGATATTGCAAACCAAGCAGTTGGTGGTAACATGGTTATTAATTTTTTGAATGACAATTTCAAACAAGAATCTTCAGCACAAAATAACCCTATTGAACTCGGGAACATGGTCGTTAATTTCCAAAACGAAAATTTTCAACAGGAATTCGATGGACAAATTACAAAGACGTCTAATGATTTAAGTATTGAGAAATTGAAGATCAGTAATAAAAAGTCTGCTAATCAAACGGTTTGTTCACGTAATAAAGACTTAGAGAGACGAAAGTTAAGTCAAAATTTGGATAATTTTTCATTACGTCTGGGTCAAAGCCATAATTTAGAATCTGTAGGTGTTGTAGGAGTGACTAGGGTTGATGTTAACCCGAATTATATAAGAAAGCAGGAAGATAATACCTTAGAAAATAAAGATTCTAAGAAGTGTAATTCAACAAATTCAGCAGAGGAAAAACTAAGTTGTTCCGAGTACTAAAAACTTTTGAGGTACTATATCTAGTCTAATTAATGATTTTTTTTTAATTTTAGAAATACTCCTCCTTGCCTTTTACCAGGATGGGATTCATGTGATGAATCGCAAAGCCCACCAATTGAAAATGAAGAATGGTTAGCATTTTTAAGAAGATCAATGCAAGAAATTTTAGATGGTGAAATGGAGTCGCTACAGCAACAAAACTTAGTAACAAATTGTTTTTAATTCATATTTTATGATTGAATTCTATAATTTAATATGTGATTTAGGTCAGCATAATTGTAGCACCCTTGCGAAATGTGCGGGCTAGCTCCATTGTTATTGAAAATGTTGCAAAACTATTTAGCTTGCCACTGGTGTTAGATAAGCCGAATAATGTGTTAGAAAGCATTAAAAATGTAAAAATTCTTCAAAAAATTTACAAACCCATAATTTACTATTTTAAATATTAGGTATATATTGAAGTTAAATTGGTTCCAAATTTAATGTACGCGTCAAGAATAATAACGACTCATAAATTGAGTGAATGTTCTCAATCATCATCGACCTCGTTTTCAGGGAGGCAATTTAAAACTATTACTGAATTAACAGATGAAGAAATTCACACACTTTCTTTGTTGTACGAATTAACTTGTTATTTGGTGCATTTAAATGAAAAGTTTTTAATTCAATTTTGTGATGCTGTCGCAATCTTACCAGCAGATGCACTTCTAATTTTATTTTTGTCTCATGGTAGTACATATTTTATTTTGTTATGATTTTTAATAAAATTTAAAATACTTTAGATTCTAAAAATAAGGATGCTATTAGTATATCAAACTATGTGATCGCTATATTATGTTACGTTTTACGAGAATTACCAGAAAATGCTGAACTTGTTGAAAGAATTATATTCAGTGATAAACTAAATTTAATTGCCTTAATGAGGAATGCAGATGATTTAATACGCTTAAGACTATGTATGCTTTTTCGTTTATTAGTTAGATTCAGTTTACGAGGTTTACAAAATATTTGGTCAACCGAATTCAAAGAAACAATCGAATCTTTAATTTATGACCCATCTGACGAAGTTCGAGAGGTAAAGCTTTGTGTTTCAAGTTTCTTACAAACACATTAAATATTTAAATATATTCCAGGAAGCTGAATTTGTAGTTGAAGAACTAAAACAATTCTCATTTTATTCATAAACTTTTAAATAAATTGTTGTAACTGACCATATCACTATTATTAATATTCTAATGTTATATAGTTAAATTAACATTATTGAAGTGTATTGAAAGAAAAGAAGAAAATGTTAAATAAATTTTTAAAAACTTTATCGATATCAAGATTTTAAGCAAAATCAAATATATTTTCAAAAAGTTCTAAAAATCCCGAAAAAAAACCTTCATCTTCATCGTCATCATCTTCATCTTCGTCTGAATCAGAAGCTGGAGTTTTCGGAGTGGTAGTTGTGGTTGTAGATTCAGTCAATTTACATTCACGTTCATACATTCTTTGAAGTTTTATCACATCTTTAGTACTCAATTTTTTACGTTGACCAATTTTAACGCCATTTTTCTAGCAATATCTTATTATTATTTTCTAAAAACATATGTATGTTAAAATTTGTAACATACCAAAGCAACAATTGTCGGTTCTCCATTTTTAGAAAATGCTTTTCTACCATAATGCATAATACTATCATAATCATATTCAACTCCAAAACTAGTCGCTTCCGTATATTCATATTTTCGAAAGTTTTTCTTTTTGCCTTTTTTAATATTATCCCATATTATTTTAACATAATTATCGCGATCTGGAGAGCTCTGTTGATGTACAAAGCCTAAAACATGTAAAAGTTCATGAACAACTGTTCCATGTCGTACACATTTCATTGGGTTCAGGTTTAAAATCTTAAAATAAAGTTAAGGTAATAAATTAAAATAATAAATTTAAAACAAAAATCATTAAATTCAATATACACACTTGACCACCAAATCTCATCCCAATGCTAGACCAACAACCAGTTGTATTTCCTTTTATTGTGACCCAGCTTAAATCACCTAGTAATTGAAAAATTAAAAATAAACATGAAAACTAATTTAATTTACTTAAAACTAAAAAAAATAAAATTTATTCGAACAGATCTTAAATAATTGTGTTAATTAAGAATCCGAAATTAACACGTTCTGCCCAAATTAAAATATTTTTATTTATATACCATCTTCATATGGCCTAAATTTTACACAAGTTTTTTCATGATATTCTTCTATTGCATTTTTTATGATAGCAATTTCTGCATCATCTAAAATTTTAAAAATCAATTAATATATTTTTAATAAATAAAGTTATGTTTAATTTTGATATTATTTAAAAATATTTTACCAAAATCTACTGGATCAATATAATACGGTACAATTGCATCAGGCCATATAAGAGTATCATTTAAAATTGCATTTCGTGTATTGTATAACATAATATCACCTTCAAATAATTCAGATGTTTCCCAAATGTTTGTTTCCATATTTGGATTCCATTTTAAATACATTTGACCTGGTTTATTTTAAATAAAATAATAATATTTTTGAATAAGAACGGTATAGAATAACTTTATATAAAAAAAAAAAATAACAACAAATTTATACATACATATGTATGTATATTTTAATAATTGCATACATCAACAGAGTAGTTAAGCTAAGAAGATGTTATTTATGATTATGATGATATTTAAGACTAAAATTGAAAACGTATACTACATATTATTTGCAAAAATACTCATTGTTTGAAAATAACCACAACTTTTTGATTTTCTTGTATGAATTTCTTGTAACCAGAAAAAATTATAAACCACAAATAACTTTTTAATGCATGCTACTTTTTCATCGAAAATGCACATAAATCAAAAAAATTACATTTTACAGCTTTTTATATCAACATTAAAAAATACACATGAGTGTACGTTCAAAATTAATTTTTCATATACTTACTGTGTTGACTTGATAATCTTCCATAATTATCACCATATCTGGGTGGTGGTGGAACAGCAATAGCAATTTTTTTTATATTGAATTTTTTTGTTGGTTTTCTTTTAATATTTTTAGCCATAGCTAACGATGAACATTGATAAATAATAATAAAATAAATTATAAAAATACGACCACTTTTCATTTCATGGATATGCGAAAGAGGTGATTTCGATGGAAAGTATAAAAAAAAAATTTTTTTTTTTATTGTTTTCTTTCTATCTATATTTTTATTTATTTTAATTTTTTAGCTAACTTTAATATGACAAACAAATATAAAAATTAAATTATAAACGAAAAGTTTCTGTTAGAAAGCATAAATTAAATTATGTGAAAATATGTAAGTATTTAAAATGTAAAATGTAAAAGTAATAAAAGAATGAAAATTATTTATTTAATACTATATTAATTTTGGTTTTTTATGCAATCATTACTATTTGGTACCTAAATTCAAACTAAATCAAAATTTTCGATTAAAATTTTGAATTAAAACGCATGATACACAAGTTTAAGTATATAATGGTATGTCTATTAAGTGCCTTTTCCCGCCCTGTTTATGTAAAGTGAATGAGAATGTTATGAGTACGAAAAAATGAGTTTTTAAGTTACAATCGTTTTTTTCAACATTTATTTTTTTTTGTGATTTGTATGTTTTCTTTTTCTTTTTTTTTTAATTATTATTGAAGTGGTGATAGTTTATTAAAAAATGTTATAAGAAAAAATAAAACCGTAGAAAATGGTTACTTAGATTGTGTCAAAGTAAATTGAAAATTTACGAGTTTGCGTCTCCTCACATAGAAAACCATTATGCAATCAAACATTCCCTAAGGGTCTGAGAACGTATAACACTAGGAAGAATAAACTAATCAATTAGTTTGACCTGATTTTCAAATGAAATATGCAACTATCTGCAAGTTTGGAATTAAATTAGTACAAATTTTAATTTTAATAAATATTCATTGTTATGGAATTGAAACGGACATGTTTAACTAAAAACTTATTTTTCGGCCTCGAAAATCTAATATTTTTTGAAAAACAAATAAAAATTTTTCTACTCTCATCTATACCTATCATACAAACATACTCGTACATATGTTCATATGTAAAAAATCAAGCCGGTTGATTTTTATATTTTTCGCGCTATTGTGATTGAATGAAGGAAAGTGTTATTCAAATATTAAAAATAATAAATTTAATTTGCATATTAAAGCGATTATATTTTTTCGTTAACTTTTCGGTTCCTAAAATTTAAATTATAAGTTACAGAAAAAAAAATTAACATTTTCATTAGCTATCGTGTTGTGGAATTTGAAATAAATAAAGTGAAGTATAAACTATGTATGTAAAACATGAAAAAAATGAAAGAAAAAAGTATTTAATTTCAGTTGTTGGATAATTTTACTATCGCATTACCTGGATATTATTTACTTTCTGCTTTTTTCTTTTTCTTTGTTAATTCCGCTATATTAAAAATTGAATATTGTAATTATGCAAAGTGAGTACCTAAGACTATATAAAAATTTGGAACAATACCTTATAAATTTTTAAGAGTACGAAAAAGGTGATATTTTGCATAATTTAAAATATGGGTAAGTATAATTATTACCTAGTTTTTTTTTAATTACAACTCCAGTTGGGAATAGTGTTAATATAATTAAAGTAAATTAGAATAAAAAAAATATATGTGTACGTACAAATATTGAAATTGATCACAACACCGTAACCCAATATCATGTGTGGTGATTTGCAATAGCAATAATATCAATTGGGCAAAGAAATTTAAACAATAATAAAATCATAATAACAGTTTTGAAAATCTAAAGTTACTAAAACTTCTAAGGTTTAGATGAACTTAATGAATATAATGTTTGTATAGGCATAATAAAAAAAATCCCTAAAAATCCCAAAAAATTTTTTTTCAACAAATACTTAATTTTTGCTTAGGTTCGCATTTTATTTTCAACTGTTTCACAAAAAAATTTCCAAAAAATGTGGCAAATACTAAATGAAACTACGAAATATTCAATGTTTAAAATATTTAACTGTTTTTTTACGTTAATCGAGACAAAAATCAATTGCTCTACTTGGTTAAAAAAAGACTTAAACAATTATTTTAAAACAAACAGAAAATTAAAAATTTCATTATGGTTTAAAAATTTATAAGATCTGCTGAGAATTGATGATGATGATAAGTTATGATTATTGCTATATAATGATCTGTCGTCATCGTGAAGATAATATGCCGTGATCTTTTTTTTACCTTTTGCCCTCCACATTTTCTAGACTGGACTATGCAAAAAAAACTTTAACAATTTTATTTTTTTTACAACCTAATAAATGTCAACTTTCAACTTATGTTCTTTTAACTGACAAAAAATCTAAATTTTAATTTTTAAAAATAATTGAATAATAAGTGGATGCGGTATGCGGTAACAAAAATTACATCATTCCAAATACCGAAACTTTGTTCTAATAACTATTTATTGCCCTAATATTTTAATAGCGCTTGTATAAAACATCAAAAACAATGAAAATATTTCTTTTTATTTTTAACATCGCAAGTATTAAAAATTCGAATCAGATGCGGTTACTCCACGGAAATTTTGGTGGAGTACATTTAAATACAAAAAAAAAAACAATTTTTTTTCTTTAGAAATTTTAAGATGTATACCGCACCGCGTCTGTTGTGATTAACCACTAAAAATAATTTAACATAATTTTTAAGACATTTTGCAATTCGTTTTATTATTTCTACAAAAATACTCCAGCAATACAATTTTGATGTGGCATCCCTGCACTTCTATATTTTTTTTTTATTTGACGTCTGTTTGACATAAAAATAAAAATTTTTGTTGTTCACTTCAGATTTGAGTTTTCATTTTCTCGTTCACCTTTTTTTCTCATTAGTTGACGTTTGACAGTTGCTTGATTAGAAAGAATTTTATCGTGTCGGTTTTTATTTTAATAATTTTTCATACTTCTTATTTTTTTTATTTGGAAACTAGAGGCTAATAACAATTTTCGGAATGCTTAGTTTTTAAAATAAATTTTAAATATATAAAAAAAGTTGCTGTTGTGTATACTAAAAATTAATTTATATTGTGAATTAAAAAGAAGCATATAAGATGTGGATTGAATAGTGAAATTAGAAGGTGTGACGCAAAACTTATTCTTAGCATTAAATTATTATTCCAAAAAATATATTTATTGCGAAAAATAATATAATTTAGAAAATGTTAAATACTTCACTTTAATAAGTTTTTAAATAGTTGTTCCAAAATTGAATTTCTATTAAAATTTCTATGGTTTCGTTAAAAGAAAATTATGAAATTAAATTTTAAAAATAAAAATTATATAAAAGTAAAATATGTATAAATAAACTTAAAAAAAAAAAGAAAAGTCAAATAAATCAGAAAATAATAAAAAAACGGGAAAAATAATATACAAAATTGAAAAAATCAGGTCAACGTACAATAATTATTATGTATCCATGAATGTGAGATTTTTTCTTTATATCCTTAAAGCAAAACATCCTATTTGAATCTCAAATGTACACAGGAATTGAAAAATATTCAAACTCATTTATTTTTTACGATTAAGAAAACAAAACTTTTTTTCAATTTTACAACAAAAAAAAAAAAATAAAAGAACTTGTGATAACAAAATAAAGTTATTAGATAATATCAGATAAAAACATATTAAATCATTTCATTTTTGTTTACTCAAAAAAAAAAAATAAAAAAACAAAAACCAAAATAACTCAAACATAGAAAAACAGTAGAAAACAAACAAGTTGAAAATCGTGTGTAATAAATAACCGTGTACCTTCCCATTTACTTTCTATTTCGTTTTATTTCAATTTGTTTACTTCATATTCAAAGTATTATAGACTATAGCTATATATTTAACTGTTAAGAAAAAGAATCTTCATAAAATTTTTTTTTTAATAAATTTTTAAAATGGCTGCAACATCTTCAACAACATCAGTAGCAGATAATTATAATTATGAAAAGAATCGTTTAAAATCTTTTCAATTATGGCCATGTCCAAATATTGTAAATCCAAATGAGCTTGCAAAATGTGGCTTTTATAGTACAGGATTTTATATGGAAACTCAATGTAATTGGTGTCATATAACAATATCTGATTGGCAACCAAATGATCAGGTACAATTATTAAAAATATATTCTTATTTAAATATTTTAAGTTAATTTATGATTAATTACTGTAGACATACGTACATATATATTTAGTAGCTATTTTATCAACCTACACCAAAAATAATATGTATGGTATTCACTAATAATTCATTGCGTGAATTTTTATTAAATAAGAAAACAAGTACAACACCTATCTAAGTATTTAGGTAGATACCCACCCAAAATTAAAAAATCTTTCTTAAGAGTAGATATTTTACATATTTAATAGAGGTACAAGATACTTTTTATTACAAATTGTCATTAAATTCTGAAATACTGTGAGGCAAAGTCGATTGGACATAGCTTGTAATCTATTAGAATCTACTTACTAATTTTTCTATTTAATAAATTAATTTTTGAAGTAATTAATGCCAAGTACTTAGATTTGACTGAAATGCCAATTTAATTCCTGCTCAAGTTCTAATATGTTATAAATAAATATTTACATAATATAAGTGACCCATTTTCTCAATTTGTAATTGGCGCTAGTTGAAGTTGAGATTTATAACAAATTATAAATTATTCTTCTCTTTAAAAAATTCCTTCATATTATGTTAACTTTATTTATATTTAAATTCTATAACATGCATTAGAATTATGACTTATTTACTTAAATTAAGAACTAAAAATTTCTACATTATTTACTTGTAATGTATTTAAATTCTACATAATTATTAATCAAATTTGCATGTAAAATGTATAACCAAAGATGTATTTAGCATTATTTTTTGTAAAGTAATTAAATTTTAAAGTAAAAATGTTAAAATGCAAAATATTATTGTCATTAATCTTGGTAATCGTAAAAACAATTTTCGTTGTGCTTTTTTATGTTGCTAAAGTTTAAAAAACCTATACTTACTTGTTTAAAACTTGCGGGAAATTACATAACCAAAAAATCTGATGTTCAGATCTAGATAATGTCTGTAATTGCTTTGTTTTAAAATTTATAATTATTGTTTTCAATTAAGTATTTACATAGGTAGGTTAGTAGGTATTTAAGTATAAAACATTATTATGTTGAATGTTGAAATAAAATACTTATTTTAGTGAGTAATTGTATCTTGTAGACGATGTTGCTATTGAATTACTTAGGACGCATACACTTTTAATAAAATATGTTTGCTATTTAAATGCAAAATGTACTATTGCTTTTGATACTTCTTGTAGTGCTATCAAAGTTTTTAATTTCTCGATTTTGTTGTTGTATTTAATGTATCTGATTGTCGGAGAGGCGTAATAAAATTTATAAAAGTACTTGCCTACTTACTTATTTATAACAGTACAGAAATGATGTTAGTTGCCTTCATACTGTTTGAAGTGCAAGGGTTATTTAATATTAAACCCCGAAAATAGATAATTTTAAAAATTGTGTTGTTCTAAATCAATCAATTTACGATAAGCGACATGCGTCTGTTCCTCACGATTGTTTGTTGCCAATATTGCAAATAAGGTGTTAATACATAGATATACAACATGTACTCACTTACTCAATAAATTTATATTACTTATATTTCAAGGTAGGGTATGTAGATACTTACTTAATTTTATGAGTAATTTAAGATTTTCATTTTAGATATATTATTCATATTAAATTATTTATTCGTAATTAAATTGCGATTGTCTTTATAGAACACCATATTCGCATATTCATTTAGGTATTTCGTGTCATAAAAAAATTTAAATAAAAGTTAACTAATTAAAATCAACTTTAATTTTAGGACACCATTTGACCTTTTTAATATAAGTAAAGCGAGGATAAATTGAGTTGACCTGCCAAACTGTAAGATATATTGTTTATATACTTACGAGTAATTGTAATTGCTTCATATTTCGTCAAATAAACTATTTGAAATTTAACCATAAGAAATATGTAGTACTTTCTGTGAGTTGAAATTGAAAATGAAGTACTTATTTGTATGAAAACTGTACAAAAAATTCCCTCAATTTGATATTTTTATTTACAAAACTAGATAAGACAATTTGAATTGTCTAGAATATAAAAAAAAAAAAACGTAATATATAACAACACGTGTGACAATAAAAAAATTTCAAGGCAGCACTAGAATTTGCCAATTTTTTTTTTTATAAATTGCAACAAACATATAAGTACTAAAGTAAGTATTGTGAATATCTTCTGCGATTATCAGATGGTTTTTTTTTCTGAAATCAATCTCTTGAAACGATGAATAAATCTAGATTATTTTCATTAAAATTAAAAACGGTATACTTGTTCAACTTGAATGTGTGTAAGAGAGAAGAATAGTTACACATGCATTTTAATTATATATTTTAATTGTAATTACATTATAGTTCCTCTTAAGTATATTAAAGTATTTGATGAAATATGTATGTTTATAAAATTTAGGTCAATCTATTGTTATTTGAAGAGAAAAATGTGCATAACATTTTGAAAATTTATTTAACTTAGTTTCATTCTGTTTTAAACTTAGTTAACGATATTTAAAAAAATAAGACAGCATATACTTCGAATTAGAACACTTAACAATAGTTTTATGTCATTTGACAACCTAGCCATTTACACCTTATACATTTCTATATTAACATTCAAAACGAAAAAGCAAATTTATATACACAAATACATTTTTTCCAGTAGAGATATGAAAGCCAAAATATTGTCATTATTGTTTTACTATTTCCATATTTAAAAAAAAGAAACAAAAATTAGTTTTGTACTTAAATGTGTAGTAAATATTATAGAAATGTCCTTGAAAATACTTTATGCTTAAATTAACACGAATAATTTTTTGTATACCTACTAATTTTAACTAATTTTTGAATATTTAAACTTTCTGTAAATTTTTAAGTGAAGAGGGCTTTATGCAAATTTCTAATCCAAAATTTATGGTATGTATTCTGCAATATTATTTGTAAGTACTTATATGGAAACTACTTAATATGATGTCTAATAAATAAATCATTCAATTTACTTGAAGCGACCGACGTGTATTTATTTTAATTAGAATAAAATTGTTAACAAATTATTTTTAACAGTAGTTAGGTATATGTAGTGCATGTAGATAGTTGATTATTTCTATTTTGTCCTCTTGTTTCTTTGAATTTTTAGTTAATTAAAAATAGAAATAGTATATTATGCTTATAGTCGTATCGTATTAGACCCCATCAAAATTTTTTAGACAGTAATAATGCTAGTATTTATATATAGAGTAAATGTCTGTAAATTGTATACTTATTTATTGTAAATATTTCAATCTTCTACACCATATCAAATAAACCGGCAATCAATTTATATATTCTAGGTAAGATTAATAATAATGCAGCTGGTTAAACAGAGTTTTAATCATTAAAAGCGAATGAATCATTTCATTTATAGTTGCTCTTTGTATGATTATAAAAAAAATCGGTACTTTTATGTACGTACTTTAATTAATTCCTCTTATGATCAACATTATAGATAAAATAACCCTCGGTCAACTACTCTTCCTAACTTGCAATTAAGGAAACCAATGTGGTTTAGAACACTATTATTGAGCAGACCAGCATTATTATTACCAGTATTATTTTTTAGTGGTAATAATAGTGCTGGTCTCTTCAACAAATAGTGATAAAAGGGCAATATAGAAAAAGATTCAAGGTAACGTAGTGCTATTTTTTGCTATGACGTTATAGGTACACTCGCTTAGGATTTCTTTGCTACTTCAAAGAGTTGTTAAGTTTACTGTACTTATAATTTCGTCCCTCGAATTTCCCCCCTGTATTAATAACTTTTGCCACTCTTTTGATTAATTGAGAATTATTAGGGTCTTTTCCATATTTACAGTTTAGCGATTCTAAGAACAGTCTTCTTTCTTTACATTGAAGTTATTTATCACACTAACTTGGCCAGTGCTTTTATTATATTTATAATATTTTAGCTCTCAAAAATATTTTAAAATGTTCTATGTCAAAAAATTTTTGCCTTTCTAATTTTTTTAATTTTTAAAAAACGTTTTAATTAATTTAAAAATAATCAGTGTAATAAAATTTAAAATTTCAAAGATTTTAATAAAATATATGTATGTAAATTCGAAACTTCCAATTTTCAAAATTCTAGAAGGCTATGTTAAGTAATTCAAGAATTTTTAATAGGAAAGTAAAAACAAATAAGTAGGAAAAAAATTTAATTAAATTTAAGAAAACATAAAATCGGAAGTAAGTTCTGTAAAGGTTAGAAAATTTATACATCCATAAATAAAGAAATTGTAAGAATCTGCAATTATTTGTTAAGGAAATAAAATTCTATACCTTGCTTGTTAAGAATTTTATAAAGGAAACCATCTCTATCATAATTTTAAAAGAGTAATTTTTAATATAATTTTAAAAAAAATATTTTCAAATATCTTTAATTTTAGGAGTTGCTACAAGTAAGAAATTTCATAATCGGATTTTCAAAGCCAAAATTTTTTTTCAATAAAAAATTTAATCAGTACTTATTCGTAATTTACAAATGAAATTCTTCGATTTAGAACAAAGAGAAATTTATTAGAACTCCTTATACTTGATATTGGTTGGCCATAAATCATTGGACACTTACAAATCAAACAAAATTTAAATTAAGATGTAAAAACGGAACACAGAATCAAAACATTAATATTTTTAAGGTTTTCATTAGAATTCATTAGAATTCACTGTTTGCGTGATAACGATAATAGCGTATATACATGTATGGGAGGCTTTTATAACGTACATTACTTCATAATTTACAGGCCTAATATAAAGCTTTACTTAAGTTGAAGTTCATTTATATGTATACTCGTAGTTCTCAGTTTTTTCTGATTTATGTTAAATTGATTGATTGAAATATGAAAAGGAAATTACAAATGTTTACCAGCCATAATATTACCTAATAACAGATTTATAAAATTAAATCTGACTGAAATAACTGATTTGATGTTATACGGAAATAATAAAATTTAAAAAAGGAGTTATTTCCTAATAATTAATATTGTAAAGTGATGACTTTTTAGGCATACACTAGCAGAAGTTTTTAGTACATAAGAGCATATTTCAAAAGGGTAATATTTTACAAGTCAACCATATTTTTTGGTGTCAACCATGGACACTTTATCTCACATTTAACATTAATATATATATATATATATATAAGTAAGTATATAAATATATTTCTAAATTAAAAAAATAATTATAAATACAAGAAACCCACATATTTAAAAAAAAAGAGAATATTGTTCAATAAATTTCTAAAAATGGAAGGCAAATAAAGTAAAATTAAATTTTATATTTTTAAACGCTTTTATATTTTATTTTTTATAAATTTAAAAATAATTCTTTATTTTATTTCTATTTACATTTATATCTATTTTTTAACATTTTTAGATAATGGAACGTCATATGGACGCAGATCCATTTTGCCAATTTATAACAAATCGAAAGGGCTGTGGTAATATTCCATTAGAAAATGATAGAATTAGTGAAATGAATAATATTTCAAATAGTGAGAATGCAAGTTCTAGTACAACGTCTGAAAATGCTGAAGGTAATATGACAATAGCATCATCATCATCTAATATTGTTAATTCAAGCACAAATAATATTATGCCTGGTAAGAGTTTTAATAATGTTAGTACTACTAGTTCATCAAATGATAACACTATAACGCATGATGAAGAACAACGACATCAATTACGAAGACAGCAATCACAAATTAATTCAAATCCAAATTCACTTGATTTAAGACTTGAACATCATAGATTAGCTACATTTAAAAATTGGCCTGTAAGTTTAAATTGATTGCTTAATTATACAGAATTTATATATATATTACATACGTATAAGTACTTATTACTTATTTAAAAAATTGCCTTAAGTATATTTTATCATTTTAATTTAAGATTTTAGTGAAAGAATTAAAGTTGCTTAACTTAAACTTTTAAGATTCTATTAATGTGTTTGAAGTAATTTTACTAAAAATTTTTTAGTACCTACTCCTATATTAACCCCAATTGATTAAAATGGAACGACAAAATTTTCTCATTCTCATTGTAAAATACTTGTAATATTTGTATAACATCTAAATTTCAACAAGAATTTTAAAGAAAATTAGATTTTTATTTTGTTTGGCTTGGGACACTACATATATCTGATTACATATTTATTACATTCGTCTCTAAATATACATTCTTTAAATTTTTATATTGTATTAAGTACTCTAAAGAACTTATTTCAGCCAGGTTTATTGACTTATATGGTTGAAACAAATAACAACAACATTATACGAAATAAAGACTTCTTTATTTTTAATGATAATGAACTTTACTTTTTTTAAATATTTTCAGTCCTCTCACCTCAATAAACATATTATGCAACATATGGTGTTTATTATGTCAAAGAGTTAAAAATACACATTTTGCTTAAAGAATTCTATTCTATTTTTATACTAAAAATTTACAACTGATTAATTCTTATTTAATTGCAATTCAGGTGTGAAAATTTCTAGATTGTCATTTGCTTTCGAAATTTAAAATATGATATATACATTTAATTATTAATTATGTGCTGCGAGTATAATATTATGTTGTACATTATATAGTGTCACTAATATTTGGAGTTTCCGTCAGAAAATATTAGTGGGGTAATTTATTTTGAAATTGACCTAAATCCATTTTATATAAAAATGACATATCGCACCGTTCGGGAAATATTTCGGGAAAATTAATTTATTTACTTAAGCAGTTTCCTAAGAATTTCAGATTCTCTTTAAATTAACATCTATTGTTGTTACGGACGACACTGTCAACATAAAATCAAAAATTTTAATTTTCGTCTGATATACATACATAAGTAGTTTCTTCAATATAATTTTAAAATTGTTACAAAAAATTAATTAAATTATAATTGTTATTCATTCCAAATGAAATCTTCAATTATGTCTAACTTGTTATATTATATAATAGTTTTGTATCACATTACCTTATTAATTTTTCATATTAATTTAGTTACATATTCTTTTTTTTTATTATTATTGACCTCTTATAAGTGTTAAGAATGAACCATATTAATGTAGAATGCAAATCCAGTTTTAGAATTTTTGTTCAACCATTTCTCAAATAAAAAAAATAAGTTCACAAAGTCTTTAACTCATCTTACTGGCTCTGTGTATATATGTAGGTATATGTGTATATGAATAGTATAATGTATCTAAGTATGTGTGTTTTTTTTAAGAATTTCAATTCAATTCTTTTTCATTTAATTTTTTTGTTACTCTGCCTATAAAAAAGTATAATATAAGTGTGTTCATACAAGCTTTTTGATTAACTACTAATTTCAGTTTTGATTATTTGGTTTTTGTTTTTTTTTATTATAATTAAATAACTAAATTTGTATTGTAAGTTAGTGGGGTACATTAAAACCGGTTTTAAAAATCGATTGAATATATTTATGTATATTCTAAGATTAAGATAGAATTAAAAATAGAAGTGAATTATAAATTATGTGCTGTCAATCAGACGTTATTTGAAAGTTATTCGCCGTTTTTATATGGCGTTATTTCCATGCAGAAAAAAAAAGCAAAAAAGAAAAAAAAGGGGCTTTTTTTAAATGATACAATCAAAATTTCAATTGATTTGTAATATAAAATATTGTTTTATATTAGAAATAAGTATATTAGAATTTCCAATATCTTTCAACAAAAAAAAAACTGGTTGACTGAAAAATTATAAAGCAAAATAATCGGCAATGCTAAAGATTTTGTCATTTTATGTTACAAATTCTAAACGCCAATTTTTAATACAACAACAACAGTTTTTAAACGAATCTACATAAATAAATTCAATTTAAGAACTCTTAGTTAATCAAATTTTACAAATTTAAATATATAATCAATAAAACAACATTTGAATTAAAATTGTTTGAATAGTGGCAAGTCTTTTTCTAATGAAAATTTTATTTTTGATTTAAGTTGTAATAATTTCAAACTCAGTATGATTAAATTAGCAAATTTTTAAAAAATAATGCAAATTTATTTGTAAATTTTTAGATGATGAAAGGTCAATTACTGTGAAATATTTGCAAATAATGACAATGAGATAAAAAACAGTTAAGGAACCCTCAATTATAGAAATTATCTAATTACTTATACCAGATTTTTTAAATTAATAAAATTGCAACATAAGTAACAAAATTTTTATTTCTTAATAGAAAATAAAGTTTTTAAGTAAAGAAAAATAATAAAACTGGTTATTAAAAAAACTACAATATTCCATTAAAATTTACAAATTATTACGATATTAAAATTGTATAAAATTAAAAATAAAAACTATTTTATGCTCTATTTATAAAACTAAGTATTTCTCAAAAGTTTTATAAGCGAAACTATTTCAATTTTATGAGATTTGGTGTTGTTGACATTTTTACAATTTTTTTTTTAAATTTTTTACTTGTTAAAATATCACGATAAATATTAAATATTTATTTTATGTTGTAGTTAGCCTATTCTATAATTAGACTATAGCTTTTGCTTCGGGTAATAACTTATTTTATTAAGGAAATATTTTGTCAGTTATTTGTTTATTTGTTACGATATAGGTTTCGCAGTGTTGACAATTTCAGGCTATATTTCATTTCTACATTTATAACGAAAGAAAATTATTCAGTTTTTATTTTAAAATAAAAATACCATTTCTATAAAATAAATGTAATTTTTTTTTAGATCATTAAGTATACAATTTTTAACAAAAATATAGTTCCCTCTTATTCATAATCATGCGCAAATATTTCGTGGAATTTTGAATCTGGAGGTGCCTTGGTTTTTTTACCTTATTTTAACTAGGTCGATATCGAGTGATGAACTTTCGGAATTTGTCGGCTCCTGCACTTTTTTTTCATGATCAATTTTCATTCAAATAAACTTGTTGAAAAAATCGGGTTGTAGAAACTTGTTCTCTACTTACACTAAATTTGGAATTTTCGGAACTTTCTTGTTATTATAGTTTAAAAAATTTCCTAAAATTTGAAATAAGTGTAGGAAAAAACTTTTTCTTTATATCTTTTACAAATATTTTTTTAGATTAATAAGAGTAGTTAAAAACATATATGTATATATACTAAAGTGTATACTTAAAAAATTTACTTTAAATTTATAAAGCAGAAAAGGGAGACGCTGTAGATTTTAGAGGTATATTATAAAACAAATATAGGAAATTAACTAAGATTTGTATTTTTTTTGTTTAATAAGGTGCAATTGAAATTCCCGGAAATATTTTAAGAACAAAATTAGAGTTCCTTAATAATTCGTAATAATTATGGTTTTTTTTTCATATAAGTAGTTAAACATAATTCTACATTCTATAGAAGAATTCCCTACAATTAAAATAATTATTTTAACTATTTTCAAATCAACACGCGATTTAGTTTTAATTGAAAGGCTGAAATTTTTATCTTATTTTTTATCAATTTAATTAAGATTATGATATACGAGTATGAAACAAGTTAAGACCAAAACTTTTTTTATTAAAACCGATTTTAAAATAAAAAGATTTTGGTAATTATGTAAGTGTTTCCTTCAATTTTTAAAATTTAATTAAAAGTAATTGCATTAGAAATATTATTTGAAGTTTATTTATTTTATTAAATTTCAAACAAATCACTTTAAATATTTAAAATATTTAACCTACTTTCATATAACTTACGTATTAAGTATAGATCTTCTTACATAACGCTTAGTAATTCGAAGCATGCTAGATTTTCATATACGAGTATACATATGTATATGCTTACAGTTCGTATAACATATAACGTGGTTCGAATAAATTACATATTTTTGCATATTTTTAAATAACAATATTTTTAATGAACAAAAATTTCTTGTTGTTATAAACATGCGGATGAAATTACATTTCCATATCCTCATTTTTTCGCACACACTCTACAGGACTAATTTCTATAAGGGTGTACCAGTGATTATTTAATTTTCTTTGAAATTTGATTTTGTCCAAATGCTGGGTGCCCCTAAAATCTATTTGCAATTCATTGTTGACTGCGTTATCGCTCTATTTTCCCTTTAAAATATAATTTCTATTAAACTTTACCCAAATATCAATACTGGCAACAGTATACCAATATTAAAAATTCAAATTACATTTTAAAATTAATACTTAAATATTTACCTCAATAATTGAATTTTTAAAAAAAGTAAAATAAAAAAAAATTGAACTGTTTTACATTTTATTCATATTGTTTTCTTTATAGTACCGGTTGCCGGTATATAGAGTTGCCGTATACCACTATATTTATAATTATTTATATACATATATATTTTAATAGTTGCACTAGTTAATTACTGGTTTACCTTCATTATACATCTGATATGATTTAAAAGTATTTTGTTTTTGTTTTTCTTTTAATAAAAATTATTTGTTAATGTTTTTTAAAAAAAATTTATTGCATATTATGAAAGGTGTAGGTTTATGATGAAAAAAAAAAACATTTTTTTTTATAATTTGAATGTTGTAAAGTAAGTTTTTTTCTTTTTTTAAATATTTTTTCTTATACAAGGTCTTTAAATACCTGTAACAAGAGACCGTACAATTGACAATGATAAATAAATTTGGAGATAATGTTGTAACAGTCGAATTCTTTGTGAGTAAAATCTAATAGAGAATAAAATTTTGGAATACTTAATTTTCAATTTAGTAATAAAATTTATTTTATAAGGTGAATTAAACTTTGAATTGCGTTTACGATTTCGATTAAATTAATTGATTTTTCATTGTTTTTTT